AAACCTGACATATGATTATCTTTCTCGATGAATTCCCAAACCTCCTCATTTTCTAAATGTGCAGACTAAAATAAAATAGAAGGACCCTAATGTTTCTTCCTTTTGATTCTTCTTATAAGCTTTGCCTCTCTTCAAATAAGAAATATGCAAGAGCACATGAAAGCAAATATGAGCTGTAGTACCTTTTTTTTTCTTTTTTCTGGAATGTGCTCTTAAGAATCTGTTTCTTTCTTTTTTAAATATATATTTTATTGATTTTTTACAAAGAGAAAGGGAGAGGGATAGAAAGTTAGAAACATTAATGAGGGAGAAACATCCATTAGCTGCCTCCTGCACGCCCCCTACTGGGGATGTACCCGCAACCAAGGTACATGCCCCTGACCGGGAATCGAACCTGGGACCCTTCCATCAGCAGGCTGATGCTCTATCCACTGAGCAACACCGGCTGGGGCAAGGATCTGTTTCTTTTATCAGTTGTTAGTATGATTCTCGCAGCACAGCTACATCCTGACCTAGAGTCAACCCCTTCAATTGGGATATGCTTTCTATGTGAGTTATTAAATTGGAGTGTGAATAAACCTGAGAGGCATCTGATTTTTAAATAATGGCAGGCTCACTTTCTAATTTTTTTGATTGCTAAAACTTGCTTCTGTTTAAGGCAGCTATATCTGAAAAAGGAACGCTAATGACTGTACAGGACACAGTGCTCTTAAGAACTCACATTAATCCAGTAACGTTTTCCTAATTTTCAAGTACTTACATCTAGTAGAGGTGAAATGCTGAACCTATTATAACTGCAAGAGAAGGAAAAAAACAAATTAGGTAGCAACTAGCTCTTAGATTTTTATAAGCTATGCATTTCATTAAGCAGATTTTTCTGGCCTCCATATCCCACTACTCTGAGCTCCTCTGGAGGTTATGGTCTTGTCAATGTCATTAAATTCCTGGGAAGAACCATTTGATAAATGGTTCCAACTGAGTTTCAATTGGATATATCCAACTGAGTTGCAATTGGATAATTAAAGCAATCAATGAAAAATGAATCCTTTTACATTTTTATTCCATTTGCTTAGTGCTAACAAGACCCATCTTGAAATGGGGGAAAATTAGATAGGAATTTAAAGAACTACTCATCTGCTAGGCATTGAGAAGCTGCATATAGAATGAGCAATAAGCCATTCTGTTTCCAGGCTCTGGATCCATTCTGGAAATACATTTTTTCTCAGAACCCTGTATCTTTAAGTCGTTGTAATTATCTCTGAAATTCTTTTGCTTTATTTTGCTTACTTCCCGAGTTCTCTCTTTTGTTGGATACTGTTGACACCTAGCAGGGACCTTGAAAGATGTGGTGTTTGGATTCTTGAAAGAAGCTCTATGCTGCACATTTTACTGGAAAGTCATGAGAGGAACTACACACAGGAATATAAAGGTAGAGCTTTGGGATATTCAAGGATCCAAAAACCTAAAGCAGGAAGGATATTTCTGCTTGAAATGCTGGGTAAAGAAACCACTCAATACCATTATTTTTTACAAGCCTACTATGTAATAGGTACCCCATCCATATCATAGCTCTATGCCTTACAAAACTGTAACAAGATAGATATCTCCATTTTGCATATGAGAAAACCGAGTTTATTTGCCCAAAGTCACACAGAGATGGCAATTGTATTTGAACCCAGATTTGTCTGGCTCAGAGTTTAATGCGCCTCCTAGCTATTCTGCTATGCCTCCAGGGAATGTTTCAGACATCTGAACTACCCTGTTCATTAGAGTGGCCGTTAGTTATTATAAATGAGGTTAGTCTGAACTGAGATGTGCCACAAAACACACACTGTTTTTGAAGACTTATATTACCCAAAAGAGTAAAATAGCTCCATAATTTTAAAATATGTATCTCAAGCAGAAATGAGATATTTTAGATTTATTAAATAATATGTATTATCAAAATTATTTAATAAATTAGTTTTTGTTTTAATGCAGCTACTAGAAAGATTACACAGGTGGCTCATGTTATGTTTCTGATTCAGATTATTTAGCTCTGATTTAGATTATTTCTCTTAGGTTCCCAAAAGTAAAATTTTAGGGTTTCAAAGGGATATTTTCAGGAATTTAAATCATCAATAGTTACTCAATATTTCTTTACTGTTTTCTAAATGTAATAAACAGAAATCTTAAATTTCCTAGACAGAAAGCACTTGATATTACACTGGTTGAATGGTCATCTGGTCATCCTATAGAGGGGCTAAAGCATTCCACAATAAGCTAATTATAGTAAAGGCATAATCAGTGACAGTGATCATGTTTTGTACCTCCCAGTTCCACCAGTTCCTAGAGTCATTTCAGGCAGGGGTAAGGTTATATATGTGTTGATCGGGAATCAGAGTACATGCTACTACGTCTCTGGGTTTCTTCTGATCACAATGTTCTAGAATAGTGGTGGATATGGTGATAAATGCCAACAAATAGAAATAAATGGATGCTTTTACATCCTTAAAATACTCAAAATCCCATCACTGTGGTAGGTTGTGGGCCAGTAAACTCTCCAGAGAACTGTATTTAAGATTAAAAATAACAAAGCCGTTTTCTTTCACTGTATGCTTATGAATTACGATGTGTCCCTTAAACAATGACAAAAAGTTACCTCCTTTCCAGGCACATAAGTTAATCACGATAAAGTAAGCCTTGGTTATGAAAAGCATATTTTTTCCCCCCAAAGTATAAGGTAAGAGAAAATTTTGTTTGCAAACTGAGCTATTTAGCCTTCTGAAACTAGAAAGTGCAGGTAAGTAATATAGTAAAAAGCATGGTTAGTGAATGACTTCTATAGACAGAAGAGTCTAGTAAATACTAAGTAAAAAGGAAGCAAATGATATAAACTCTGTCCTAAGGGATAGAAGGGATTTCCATGCACTAGTTTATAGTGTTGAGGCCTGAAAACCAGGAAGCAGTTACATGTCAACTCACCTCCTGGTCAGAAAAAAGGTGGCTTCTTAGGCCTTATACAGTACTTAAGTGGAAAGCTTATATAAAATCATGGATGTAACTCACTCCCAATTAAGAAAGGAGCCATAGGCTCTTTGCCTTCCAGATAACCAGGCAGCTTCATTTAGCAGTCTACTGAAATAGGAGGGGTCCTGTCATACTGTCTACTAGTTGTGTCCGTCATTTGGTATCACTAAATTGGGTCAGATTAAATACAAAGCAACTCTCACTTTCTGCCAAAACCCTTATATCATAGATATTGATATTCTGAAACCCAGGCATCTCCTTGCCAGATATCACAAAACAACTGAAGTTCTCTTAACTCTTGAGGCCAGTTTGTCACAATATTCAGTCCTACATTACCTTGAACTTTTCAGAGATTCTCCAATTTTGTTCTAATCTAAAAACTGCCACACATATTTGATGAAACATTATTTACTCTAGGGTGATCGGGTGACAAGTGCTGACTCAAAATAGACAGACCTTGGTTGACATTGAAAAAAATATAATTGAAATAAGGGACCACTGATTTAGTGCCCTTTGTCTAGTGTTAGTTCTGGTGTTGAGAAGATACGAGAAAAGCTTTCAGGAATAGTCACAGAAGGGCTTGGTAGTCAATGGGAAACTGCTGCTGGAGAGACCAGGAGAGCAGACACTTAATAAATGTATGCTGGATGAACAAATATGCTCTGGATTCAAGGGTGCTATATACAGTTAAAAAAAGAATTCATGCCTTTTTTGTTATTGTTCAAAACTTTTATTTTTTGAATATTTATATTTATGCTTTTGTCACTATTCACACTGTGACTTTAAAAAAAAAAAGCCTGAGCCACTGTGTGAGTCTAGCCCCAATATAATCATCATCCCCTCACTCTTAGAATTCCTTTTCATTTGTCACTTGGCCTTTGTATGGTTTGTATAAAAAGAGGACCCTGGAAAATCAATACTTCCTGTGAACTTGAGAAGCTAGAAGAACAGTGCCCAAATAGGCAGGTAAAACCAACAGGGTAGCAGATATATTACAATCTCTTGGACCAAGGTATAGTTGTAGGCATGTCTAAAAGTTATGCTAATTCACCATAGAATAAAGATTATATATTATAGGTGGATCAGGGTGAGGTAGGACTATCCTCAGGTCTGGGTGAATTGTGGTAGGAGAGGCAGTATATAACATTCATTGATTAAACACCCAGCTAACTACTTTCCTAAAATTCTAGGTTCCAAAACACCAAGATCTAGGTTCTTGACTTTATTTAACTTCTGAAAATTCAAGACACTACATTAGTTCTTATGGTTTAAAATGAAAGCAAATGGCTATGACAGCTGAACTGCACCAGTATACTTAAGACTTTTAAATTGAATTCTGAGTTGCTTTACCTTATAAAAATACATGTCATTATACTAAATATTCAACAAAAATTCAGGATGGGGATATTTAAAAATACATTTCCCTTGGGTCAGCACCAAAAATATCATTAGTTTTCTGTACAACTCAGGGAAAATTTTTAAATATAGATAAGTTAAAATTTTTCTGATAAAAACCACACACTCCACAGAAATCAGTAAAGATATATCCAAACAGCTTTCAAATACATTTTGTCATCAAGGTCAGGCAATTCACTTGGAAGGATATAACGAGTACCACTGAATTTTTGTAGTAAAGACTTTTGATGTCAGCTTTGTCTTATCGGGGTTTTTGACATCTCACAGAAAGGAGGCACTGGTACTAAATGATTAGAACCGTTAAGACTGAGGTGTAGAATTTGTGCAACCTTCCACAATTTCAAAGAGGTAGTGATAGGCACTTGTCCTCCTGGCAATATCAAACGCAGTTTCTTCCAAGTTGTTTCTCAGACCGGGTTTGACGTAGCGGTTCATCAGGAGGAGTTCTAGGATATCTTTGTTGTCTCTGTTCCCAGCAGCAAGGTGTAAGGGGGTCAAGAGGCCTTTTGTCTGGGCATTGATGTCTGCATCATGCTGAAGTAGGAAAGAAGCTACTCTAGTATTATTCCACTTACAAGCGCTGTGCAGGGGTGTCCAGCCATCCATAGTCACCGCATGAACATCTGCTCCTTGTGCAATTAGCTCACGGACAACCTCTAAGTGTCCACTGTAGGCTGCTCGGTGAAGAGGGGTGTACTCATCTTCATCTCGGGTGTTCACATGAGTGGCCTTTTCCGAAAGTAGTCTCCGCACGGTAGACAGCTGAAAAGAAAAAGGAGATATTTAAAAGACCCAACTCAAAACTAAACAGTAAATCGCGAAAATTAAACTGTCTAGTGACTTAATGAGGTTAAATAAAAACTTGTTAGCAGCTGACTTTAAAATGAAAACAAGATTTCATTTTTGGAGGGAGAGGGTCAACGGGTTAAGAATGAACCAGTTAGTGTTAACCATAAACTGTTGATTCTAAGGATGTGATTCTCTGAATATCAAACCATATATTTATGTCCAGGTCCAACTAAATGTATAAAAGCTTTAGTCCTAGATGAATAATTGTATTTAATCTTTTATATGTCACCTGTAAAGAAAACATAACAACAGGCTGACTTTTTTTCTGAGGAGCAGCACACCAATGACATAACATATAAAACTTTATGAAATAAACTTCTTTATCAGAGTGTAATGGTATTAAACAGCTCAATTCCTTCTAACTAAAACAACCTAAGACATGTTTCAAGGAAGTTTGGTCTATGGACCTGTGATGGAATACAGTGTGCTCTTGGGTTAAAAAGTTATGCAAAAATGCAAGGCATTTTACTTATTAGTTTATTAAGACACACGAGGGAACTTAGTAAAATTAGGTAAAAGTAGCTGCCTGGGAAGAACAGACTTTTAAAAAATATTTTATTAATTTTTTACAGAAAGGAAGGGAGAGGGATAGTTAAAAACATCGATGAGAGAGAAACATCGATCAGCTGCCTCCTGTATACTCCCTACCGGGGATGTGCCCACAACCAAGGTACATGCCCTTGACCAGAATCAAACCTGGGACCCTTCAGTCTGAAGGCCCATGCTCTATCCACTGAGCCAAAATGGTTAGGGCAGAAGAACAGACTTTTAATGTTAAGTCAGACTACCCTGTTTGGATGCTCCTGGGCAAATTAATATTCCTGAAAAATCTCAATTTCTTTAAAAAATATATATATTTTATTGATATTTTACAGAGAGGAGGAAGGGAGAGAGAGGGAGAGAGCTAGAAACGTCGATGAGAGAGAAACATCGACCAGCTGCCTCTTGCACACTCCCTACCAGGGATGTGCCCACAACCAATGTACATGCCCTTGACCGGAATTGAACCTGGGACCTTTCAGTCCACAGACGGACGCTCTACCACTGAGCCAAACCGGTTTTGGCAAAATCTCAATTTCTTACTCTGTAAAAGGGAATATTACTTATCTTTAGGGATATAAAAGGATTCAATAAAATAATAAAGCATATGGTATAGTTGGTATCCAATAAATGTTAGTTCCCATCCTCCTTTTCCTAAATAATAATTATTTTTAGGATGATCCTAACAATATAAATGATTTAAAAATACAGATGATTGCTTGTGATCTTCATAGTTAATTATCCTTAAAGCCCCCCAAATACCTAATTTGACTTTTGTAGCTTAACATATACTTTCATGTACATTGACTCATTTGATCCTCAAAACCTTGCATAAAAGAGGCAGGTATTAAAATGACCACTTTTACTGATAAGAAAATAGAGGTTCAGAAATAGTAGGATTTTCCCAGAGTTACGGATCAAATAGAGGCTCAAGGTCAGGTCTTCTGGCTCCAAATTTTCCTGTTATATTATGGTTTCTTCCCTATTTGTTTGTTTACCCGATTTTTTTCAGCAGCCCAAAGAAGCAATTTGCTTGGATCTTTTTCCATCTTTTTTTCTTGGAATTGATACCACTCTTCAGTTTCTTCATCTTGTTCCTCTTCTTCATCAGAATTCCCTACCCAGAGACTTTGGGTACCAGTGGGGATAAGGTGTCCATGTGTTTCCAACAACTCAAGTTGGTTAAAGTGTTCAGAAATGTCCAAGGAATTCTCTGGGTCTGGTTGTCCATCATCATTTACTTTCTCTTTTTCCATTTTTACTACTATTCTACACACAAAACATTTCAAATATCAGCGTATAAATAATCTTTTTAGAGATGAATTATGTCTGCTTTATTTTATTCATCAATATCTGAAAAAACAAACAAAAATTATTAGGAAAAGAGAAATTGAGGTTTTATCAACATCATATATGTCTTACAAACACACACAAATAAACCTTGTCTAAACTCTTTGGTATTTATTGATACCCTTTATATTCACTAGATATTAGAGTTGATAGATTTCATTTGTCTATATATTTAATAACCTAATATTTTTTTGTTATTGTTTGCTTCTACTAAAAAAGTGGTTATAACTATAGAATGGTTATAACTGTACAGTCATATCTCATTTTATTGTACTTTGCTTTATTATGCTTCATATATATATATATATATATATATATATATATATTTTTTTTTTTTTTTTTTTTTTTACAAATGGAAGGTAAGACCCTCCACCAGCAAAAAGATTACTATTTGCTTCAATGGGATGGTTTGGAACTAAACCCACAATATCTCTGATGTATGGGTGTATTTATTTTGAACTTATTGGTTTAGATACTGTTGTATTATGCTAAGAGTGATAAATGCTTGAAGCTTCTAAATTGTAAATAATAAAGACAGGTACATTTTAAAAATACTCACCCGAGGATATGCTTATTGATGTTGGGGAGAAAGAGAGAGAGGGAGAGAGAAAGAAAGGGAGAAAGGAAGAGAGGAAGAGAGGGAGAAAGAAACATAGCTGAGAATCGATTGGTTGCCTCCGGTACATGGCCCAACCAGGAATCGAACCTACAACCTAGGTATGTACCCTGACAGGGGATTGAGCCTGCAACCTTTCAGCATACAGGATTATGCTCCAACTGAAACACATCGGCCAGGGCAAGCCAGACACATTTTAATAAAATAGGCTCCTAGATGCTATATGAGGACACAAAAACTTCTACTAAACAAAAACTACTTAAAAGAATCAGGAATTTAGAGACAGAATAGCCCTCAAAGGACATGTATCCCAAACTCTCCAGTGCAGACATCTTTATCATGACATATGTACTAGTTATTCTATTTCTACTTAACTAATTTCAGGCTTGGGAAAATTCATTGCTTTAAAAGTAGTCATATTCATTGATACACAACTATAATTCTTAATTAGCTTATTGTTCTGAAACTGAATTTTGGCTGTCACTCATGCCTTCATTTAACAAATATAAATAGAATGCCTGTCTCTGGGTACCGGGATTCAATAATGAACAAGATCCACATCGTAACCTCAAGAAGCTTACTGTAAAGTTGGAGTGACTGGAAGAGAGCGGAATAAGTGCTATGACAGGACCATGTCCAGATACCATGAGCATTCTGGAGGGCCTTCATTAACCCAGTCCTAAGGGGTTAGAGAAGGCTTCCCAAAAGAGGTGATGCTTATTTTGCTAGGCTGCCATATTGATTTATAAATCAGCATCAGCTTAAAGAGTTACACTATGTATTAAACTTCAACCAAAGAAAATGAGGAAAAAGATTTTAAAAATACCATTTCTACTTATGGAAGTGATCACTATCCTATCTAATAAAAGAGTAATATGCAAATTGATCATCACTCCAAGACACAAAATGGCTGCCCCCAGTGGACACAAGATGGCCTGAAGGAGAGGGCAGTTGTGGGTAGTTAGGGGTGACTAGGCTGGCAGAGGAGGGCAGCTGGAGAAGACCAGGCCAGCAAGGGAGGGCAGTTGGGGTGGACTCAGGCCTGCAGGGGAGGGATTTGGAGAGGACCAGGCCAGCAGGGGAGGACAATTGGGGGCGGGGGGACCCAGGCCAGCAAGGGAGGGAAGTTAGAGGCAATGGGGCAGGCAGAGGAGCAGTTAGGCTTCAATCAGGCTGGCAGGGGAGTGATTAGGGGTTATCAGGCTGGCAGGCAGAAGTGGTTAGGGGCAATCAGGCAGAGGCAGGCAAGCAGTTGGGAGCCAGCAGTCCTGGATTGTGAGAGGGATATCCTACCACTCATTTAGGCCCGATTCCGGTGGGATCCGGCCTTACCTGGTGGTCAGACATCCCTCAAGGGGTCCCAGATTGGAGAGGGTGCAGGGTGGGATGAAGGACAACCCCCCCCCCCCCGCACAAATTTTGTGCACCAGGCTTCTAGTGTAAGGTATAAATGTCTAATTACTTTGTACACCTGAAACTAATATAATATTGTATGTCAATTGTAATTGAAAAATACATTTAAAAAATACAATTTTCAGCCTCCCAACTATATTTGTTTGGATCCTTATCTTTTCAAGGCTCTTCTCTGACGTTAATTCGTTCATTAAGTCTGCCTTAATCCTCAAATTAGATCTCTCTCAAATTCTACATTTTTTTGTGTGTGCTATATAGTGTCTTATTTCACCACTAATTTTGTGTTTGGGCTTCTTAAAATACAGTAAGTTTAGGTATAGGGACTATATTTAATTTATAATCATGTGTCACTTAAATACAGCAAGAAATATTGTAGAATTAAATTTAATTGAGGCCCCATCACTTGATTTTGACTGAAATGGATTCTGAGAAGTTGGAGAGTTAGTCATACTCCTAAAATACTTATTTATTTCTACCTAATTTTACAAGTTTAAGAGTATAGAATCCTAATGCATTAGATTTTATTAGTAGTGCCAAGAGCATTAAACTCGAGTTTAAATCTATCACTCATGTTTAGTACCTTCTCTGGGCCTGTTATTTTATTTTAAAATGTAAGGATTTTAGAAAGAATTCACAGGTCTGTCCAGCTTTCAGTCTATGAGAGACACTATCAGAATTGCTTTATGTTTTAATAGTTCTCACTTTTTTCTTCATTCTCAAACTATTCCCTGAACTTTGCAACACAAAAATGACCATACATTTAACCATGAAACAACAAACACCAGTAAATAACAAAATTAACTAGTTCTCATCTCAATTTAAGGACAGATCTCATGGGTCACCTCTCCTTTTTATAAAGTCTCTCTTTTTATAAATTTTGAATTTACTGCTCCGGATACAGTAAATTGCACATTAACATTTTCTTGGTGGATTTAGTCTAAACAGTTAAAGCCAGATGCACTCACTGGTTCAGGATTTTTTCCCCCATATATAAACTTTATTGCATTTGACATAATACAAAACTTAACGAAGAAAATGAAAATATGCACCTTTTACAGGTCAAAGAAAAGCAAGCCTTAGCATTTGGATTCATCTGCAAAAAAACAAAACAAAACAAACAAAACTCCCAAATATATTAGAGGTACAAACTGTGCTACAGCAGATCTAAAAGAAGTTGTATAGAGTCCTTTTGAAAAAGTTAAAACTATTTCTAAGATTACTTTTCACATTTAAGTGTACAGGCATTAGCCACTTTACAAATATTTACACAGCCCCAAACAATCTTAACAAACACTGTAGCTTTTTCAGCAGCCACCAATACTTCTTCAGTGGAAAAGATACACTAAAAAAGTATCTTTACAAACATTAAGCTTTTATTTATAATGATTTTATGTCTTACCCTAAAACATTTCATTAGGGACTTACTGCCTAAAAATTCCAGTTGATTACAATACTATAATTGCACACAGAAAAAAAATCTGATATGATCAATAGGTTATAATCTCAACTTTGAGCTTTAGTTTCTGTTGTTTCACGTCATATGGAAAATAAAAGCACAAAATGGGAAGTAAAGCTAAAATGCATATTGCACTAAGCTACCATAAAGCGTAGGGGACTTGATCTTTTCAAAATGTCTACAATGAATTGATTTTTAAAACAATTCACTAACTACTGTTCAATACAGAGTTAGCGCTCATATTACTACAGTGCAAAATGTACTGCTGCCCCTCCTCCAAAAAAATTTTTTTTGAAAGCAATCTCGAGTACATCAAAAGCATCTGAGGCACTAATGAAATGCTAATATAGACTCGTGTATAGCCTTTATCCTGGAATCAAGGGAAGACCTAAGGCAACTGTCCTGGTTCAGGATTTAAAAAGCCAATCAGGATCCTTGTTGATATTCCAGTAGGGAGAAATGGGGTGTGTTTTGTTTTGTTTTGTTTTAAACAGGGCGTTTCTTAACCTAATGGACACATAAATGACAGGTGGGGCCAGAAACCCCATTTTACAGGTGAAGGAGCTGAGGCTGGAATAGATGAAAACAACTTTGCCCCTAGATTAAGGAACTTCAATAGAACCCGAAAGCCCAGATTTTCTAAATGAAAAGTTTCACTTCTTTCTGTACTGCACTAGACTACTGCTGTCAGCACAAAGCAATACGGATGTGCTGACAGCAGGTCAAGGGCTAAGGGGAAGCAGCGAAAGGACTATGAAACGGATGGTCTGAATGCTGCCCCTCTGGGGCTGGGAGGAAAGGGGAAGGCTTCCAGCCCCGGCCCTCCGGCACCGAGTGGTCACTCCACAGGCCCGGCGTCGCTCCCCCGGCCGGCCTTGGGAACAACCGAGAGCAGAGTAACAGCTCCAGCCCCACCTAGTACCCGCGACGCGGCCGGCCGGCGGGGGCCGACAGGTGACCCGCCCCGAAGGGGCCAGGAGATCTCCGGTGGCGCAAAGAGACCAGGAAGAGCCAGGAAGGGTCACCCACCTTACAGAGGGGAATTCGCCGCCGCACACCTCGCTTCCGGGGTTCGTCCCCTCGGCTGTTCGGGATTGGCTCCTATGCGGGGGCGGGGCCTCGCCGCTAGTTTCCCAGCGCCCTCACGGAGCTCGCCAGCCAATGAGAGCCGAGGAGGACTGGAAGCGTTTACGTCATCCGCGAGGTATCGCGAGAGGGAGAGACCGGGCATCTATCTCGCGCCCAATTCAGGTGTCTGACCAAGCGGTTCTCAGAGGCGAGTTCTGGCCAGGCTGTTGCTTTTTATTTTTTCTGCTCACGAATCGCCCTCCTTACCGGGTAAAAGACAGCCTCCGTCCCGATGGCGTGGCTTTTGGAGAGACTTAAGAGTGGGGTAATTTAGTAGGAGTCGTACCCGCCTC